AAAAAAATTGGTTTCAAAAGTTTGAGATTACACCGAAAGACAAATAACACAGGACGCCAAGAGTCTGTTAAAACCTATAACGGAGATCGAAGCCATAAATGCAAAGGATAAGTCATCTTTATATAGAACCCCCCACCCACGTGGTTTTCTTTGATAGTTCTCATTGTCAAAACAGTGGGGTATCAGCCTTAAGTCATATAACGCAATGCTATTTGCGCCCGCATGGGGGCGTGGTTTCCAAACCGGATTTTCCCCTGAGGGCAAACAATACAGTTTATCAGAAGAAGATTAAAGGTTAAAAACAGGCTTCATTGTAAAGCTCAGTAATTCTAGACAAATAAAAATCAAATCAAATAAATACACTGGCAATTTGAATTAGAGGGGATTTCTATATTTGATACGCCTCATTAACATAAAGACCGAAAACTAATAACTGATTATACTTATTGAAAACGCTAATATATTAAGAGTGAATTAAAATAATTGTTGCAACTGAATTGTAAGTTTGCCTTAATTCTATTAAAAACTAGTGTTTTTTTAAAGTAAGAAAAAACATGAAACTGATAACATTTTTTGGAAAAAAAAAGATATGCAATAATAAATTGAAACCAATAGTAGTGGTAAAATTTTACTTTTACCATTATAGTTGTACCACACAAACACACACGCATTGCATGGTAGAGAGAGTGAAAGCGATTATGTATATTATCACTTAATTAAATATATACCCGGATTTGTTAAAGTTACTACATTCCATAGTGATAATCAAATAAGAAAGTGTAGAAACAAAAAACTGCGAGCAGGAGAACTTGTTGCACTACACTCATTGCTAGAAATAAGCAAGGAACTACAAAATGAAAATCAGGATAAAAAAAAATCAGGATATGTTAATTTTAAATTCAGGGTTAGGGATATAATTTACTGATTCCTCGGATTTTCTGTCTCACCTGCTGGCTCTCAAAGGTCCAGGTGCTGTCGGGTAAAGAAGCATCCAGGACACTGATCACCTCCTTAAAGTCTGTGGTGCTGCTGGGTTTAATCAGAGTGAAATCGCTGTACTCTGACATTGGAGACATACAGGACCTGAAGGACTGACTCTGAGACAGCATGTCTCCTCCCAGGACCTCCACGTACTTTATAGGTCCATCAGTGTTGAGCTGAATCTGCAGGTTTCTGTTGGGGTTCTTGTAATCATCAGAGTCGGTCCGTCTCATGCAGCACGTGCTGCTGCTCCTGCTGTTCCTGATGCATTTAACCGCTAAGATGAGGAAAGTGACCAGAGACAGCACGGACACCGAGGCCAGAGAGAGAATCAAATAAAGGGTGATTCTCCCAGTTTTCTTGCTGGGCTCGGCCGCTTTATGTCGGAGGTCTGAGATGGGCTCATGGAGGCCGTCCTCCAGTATGATGGACACCGTGACTGTGGAGGACTGGATCGGTTCCCCGTCGTCCTTGATCTCTATAAGCAGCCTCTGAGAGGAGTCGTCCTGCTCGGACACAGCGCGTTTAGTCCTCACCTCCCCTGTGTACAGATTGACAGTGAAGAGAGAGGCGTCTGTGGCCTCCGCCAGTCTGTAGGAGATCCAGGCGTTATGGCCCGAGTCAGCGTCCACGGCTGTCACCTTGGTAACCAGGTGACCCGCTTTCGCGGAGCGAGGCATCCTCTGATGAGAGAGGGAGCCCATGGCAGCGGAGGAGGGGTAAATAACAGCGGGGGCATTGTCGTTCTGGTCCAGGATAAAAACATGGACAGTGGCGTTGCTGCTGAGAGACGGAGAGCCCTGATCCTTTGCCTGGACCTGAATCTGAAACACCTTCAGTTTCTCATAGTCAAACGAGTGCATGCTGTAGATGCTGCCGTTATCTGAGTTAATGTAAACATACGATGAGACAGAAACGTCCTGCACTTTAGAGTCCAGTATAGAGTAAGAGACCTTTGCGTTTTCACCAAAATCCAGGTCAGATGCTGATACTGAGTACAGGATAGAGCCTGGTACTCCATTCTCTTTTAAATACACATTATAATTTCGTTGAGTGAATACAGGAGGGTTGTCATTAACATCAGTGATAGTGACAGGTATGATATTTTTACTGGACAAAGGAGGAGAGCCTGAATCAGTGGCTGTAATTTCAATATTATATTCTGAAAATCGTTCTCTGTCTAAGGTCCCACTGGTAACCAGCGCATAATTATTAGAATACGAAGGTTTCAAAGCAAAGGGAGGGCCCTTGGTAATTTGCAACGTTACTTTACCGTTATCAGCAGAGTCAAGGTCTCGCGCACTGATCAAAGCCACAACTGTCCCACTTGGTGCGTCTTCACGCAATGGCTTGGGCTGAGAAGTGAAAACTATTTCGGGAGCATTATCATTGAAATCAGTAATATCAACCTGCACGCGGCAGTGACCCTCCATCTGAGGACTACCTTTATCTTTTGCAGTCACATCAATGTCATATGACTTGGCAGTTTCATAATCTAACTCCCCTTTCAGAATGATTTCACCGGTTGAAGGGTTAATATCAAAGACCGACAACACCGAGTCTGGCGTCCGAGAGCCAAACGAGAATGTAATTTGGCCATTTAAACCTTCATCTGCATCTGACGCTTTGGGTTGAATAACAACAGTTCCTTGTACACTTTTTTCACCCAGGGACACTTTATAGAGATTCTTTTCAAAAACCGGAAAATTGTCATTATTGTCAAGAACGCTTATGGTTATTTGTGTGGTTCCGGATCTTACTGGATTCCCCCCATCTAATGCTGTTAGTAATATTTTGTGGACTGATTTCTTCTCTCGATCTAGAGGCTTTTCTAATACAAGTTCCGGGACGGTCTTCCCACCCTCGATTTCTTTTATTCTAAGGGAACAACATTCATTTTTACTGAGTGTGTATGATTTAAGGGAATTGCTTCCAACGTCTGGGTCAGATGCGCTCTCTAAAGGGAAGCGTGTACCCACTGCTGCTGACTCGGCTATGTTCAAAGACAATTCATTTGATAGAATGGCAGGCTATGTTCAAAGACAATTCATTTGATAGAAAACGTGGAGAATTGTCATTAATATCTTGTATTTCCACCTCAATTCGATGTAACTGTAACGGATCTTCAATGACCACCTGCAAAGGCAACACACAGCTGGCGCTTTGTCCGCATAAAGCCTCTTGATCATTTATAATAATATACCACGAGTCTGGCTTATCAACGATCGACACTGAATTACTGCTTTCATCTCTCAGAAGCAACGCGAAATTTACGGTCATAACATGTCGATGTATGTCGCAACGAAAACAGATTTGCAGATTTATCATACAACAAGAGCCTTGAGGCGTCGTTATTGGATTCATGTAAACAGGTTCTGTGCGTTTACTGGTGAGGGTCACAAGAGAGAATTGATGCAGCATAGCGCCTGATCGTCACAGATCTAGAGTATTCCTTTTCAGCAATCTGATGTCATGAAGAACTAGCTGGATTAACAAAAAACACAAATATCTAGACTTACCTTAACAGCATACGTAGCCCATAAAGCATAATTCCAGTGGAGTGGGAAAAAGCGTCGACAATATCCATTGGAATTGATAGTTCTTTGATAGCTTAAAGATACTGATCTAGAGAATTTTACATCTCTATAAATCTCGAATAAAGCGTTGTTCATTGTGAACAAATATCATTGTGACCTACATCGCGTGTCTTGCAACAGTGAAGCATTGTCGATTGTGTGAAGTAATCTGCAGTGGTGGAGAGGAGTCTACTAGGATGCGTATTTTGTCAGGATTTAGATTAGATCGTATGTTAAAGCTGGGTTTGGATCTTACGCAATTTCTCTGCATGACCATAGCAATGAGATCGAAAGGCAAATTTGCGGTGCAGACAGTCGTTAAAAGATTCAGATAATGAGTCGTTGTTGGCACTGCCATGAAATAAGAATAGACGATTCTCGTTTTCGGCTTCGGAGCCAGTACCCGTTGTTTCTCTTTGATTAAACCTTCATACCGGTTGAAAATATCTGAGAAGGAGATGTTAGATTTATGAAAGCAGTCATAATTGACATTGATTTGACGTGAAAGTAAGGAGTTAGAGGAGGGTCACGGATTGAAGAAGAAATGCAGGTTGAAACACCTGAAATTACCTTATGAGTATATACTAGCATCTTTTACATTTAATAGAACAAGTATTAGCACACAAATTTAGGATGTCTGTGGATAGATAATATTCTGAGTAAAAGATGTAATACAAAACAAAGATAAAATCTACTTAATAGATAAATATTGTTACTATCTAACATATTTAGCTGTATGTGGCTGAATAGTGTATACGCTTGACCGAGAAACTATTTTTGTATTAATTTGTTTCAAAAATCTGGATATAACTGTGCCTATCATAGTGGTGAGAGACGACTCCGTCCACTTGAGCATGCTCGAAATCGGGTATAACAATCGAGAAACCTGCACACTAATAGACACGTGGTGAATGATAGAAAACAAAACGTAGGCAGGAAAATTATTGGAATAAAAATAACTAAAGTAAGATGATCCGGAAGAGATTCTTACCATCAATTTAGATGTAATGTTACGTGCTGTATAATATTAAATTACACTCTACAGTTTATTATTTAACTAGATGCAAGATTCGTTATTTTGAAGTTCCGTTATATTTCACACAAAAAAGGATATAAAATTTTATTGTCGCTGGACGTAGCAAAGTTAGTGTTATTGAAATCTTAGTTTTTCTTGGTGGCACATTTTTTTAATACATACGTATTCTCAGCATTGCTGAGGAATCAAGGTCTAGAGTGCATGATGGTAATTGACGCTCCAGGAACGTAGAATAATTCACTCTGAATCGTGGGTGCATGCTGGGTTTAATCAGAGTGAAATCGCTGTACTCTGACATTGGAGACATACAGGACCTGAAGGACTGACTCTGAGACAGCATGTCTCCTCCCAGGACCTCCACGTACTTTATAGGTCCATCAGTGTTGAGCTGAATCTGCAGGTTTCTGTTGGGGTTCTTGTAATCATCAGAGTCGGTCCGTCTCATGCAGCACGTGCTGCTGCTACTGCTGTTCCTGATGCATTTAACCGCTAAGATGAGGAAAGTGACCAGAGACAGCACGGACACCGAGGCCAGAGAGAGAATCAAATAAAGGGTGATTCTCCCAGTTTTCTTGCTGGGCTCGGCCGCTTTATGTCGGAGGTCTGAGATGGGCTCATGGAGGCCGTCCTCCAGTATGATGGACACCGTGACTGTGGAGGACTGGATCGGTTCCCCGTCGTCCTTGATCTCTATAAGCAGCCTCTGAGAGGAGTCGTCCTGCTCGGACACAGCGCGTTTAGTCCTCACCTCCCCTGTGTACAGATTGACAGTGAAGAGAGAGGCGTCTGTGGCCTCCGCCAGTCTGTAGGAGATCCAGGCGTTATGGCCCGAGTCAGCGTCCACGGCTGTCACCTTGGTAACCAGGTGACCCGCTTTCGCGGAGCGAGGCATCCTCTGATGAGAGAGGGAGCCCATGGCAGCGGAGGAGGGGTAAATAACAGCGGGGGCATTGTCGTTCTGGTCCAGGATAAAAACATGGACAGTGGCGTTGCTGCTGAGAGACGGAGAGCCCTGATCCTTTGCCTGGACCTGAATCTGAAACACCTTCAGTTTCTCATAGTCAAACGAGTGCATGCTGTAGATGCTGCCGTTATCTGAGTTAATGTAAACATACGATGAGACAGAAACGTCCTGCACTTTAGAGTCCAGTATAGAGTAAGAGACCTTTGCGTTTTCACCAAAATCCAGGTCAGATGCTGATACTGAGTACAGGATAGAGCCTGGTACTCCATTCTCTTTTAAATACACATTATAAGAGGGCTGTGAGAACACAGGGGGGTTGTCATTTACATCAGTGATAGTGACATTAATAGTCTTCTTAGATGATAGAGAGGGTGAGCCTGAGTCAGTGGCTGTAATCTCGATATTATACTCCGAGAATGTCTCCCGGTCTAAATTACGGCCAGTAACCAGTGCGTAATTGTCAGAAAAAGAGGGTTTCAGTTTAAAAGGAGAGCCCTTTGGGAGCCATAATGTCACTTTACCATTGTCACCGGAGTCAAGGTCTCGAGCTGTAAGCAGAGCTACTACTGTACCACTTGGTGCATCTTCTGGTACTGGGCTCGGTTTTGAAGTCAGAACAATTTCTGGAGCGTTATCATTTATATCTATTACCTCCACCTGTACGCGACAGTGACCTTCCATTTCAGGAATTCCTTTATCTTTTGCACTGATATCTAACTCGTGAGTTGCAAAGTTTTCATAATCCAATTTTCCTTTAAGGAAAATTTCCCCTGTTGCAGAGTTAATCTGAAAAATAGAGCGCAATATCTCTGGTGTATGGTCAGCAAATGAATATTCAATTTCTCCATTCACACCCTCGTCTTGGTCAGTTGCTTCTACCTTTGCGAGCATTAAGCCACTTTGACTGCTTTCAGGCACCGTAATTTTATATAACGTTTTTTTGAAAACAGGAACATTGTCATTATTGTCTAGAACGGTCACTGTGATCTTTGATGTTCCCGTTTTGACAGGATTCCCTCCGTCTAATGCTGTTAACAGTAATTGATGAATACCTTGTTTTTCTCTGTCAAGCGTTTTTTCCAGTACAAGCTCCGGTACTTTTCTGCCATTCGTAAGTTCTTTAATTTTTAAACTAAAGCATTCATCTTTGCTAAGACTGTATGATTTTAGGGAATTAATACCCACATCGAGGTCTTGTGCTGTCTCCAAAGGGTAGCGCGCACCCACCGCTGTCAACTCCGCAATTTTCAAATGTTTTTCTTTGCTAAGGAATTTCGGTGCATTGTCATTAACGTCTCTAATTTCCACTTCTATACGATATAGATGTAGTGGATTCTCTATTACTACTTGAAGTGGCAACACACAGCTGGCGCTTTGTCCACATAAAGCCTCTCTGTCTATTCTGTCATTCACCACCAGCTCGCCCTTCCCCGTATCCACGCTGAAATACTGCTTACCAGCCTCAGAAGCGACACGCAGCTTACGGTCAAAAATGTCTGATAGTCCCAAACCCAGATCTTTGGCAAGATTTCCTACCACAGAGCCCTGTTTTAATTCTTCTGGGATACTGTAACGAGTCTGTCCGTATATTGTACTCCACAAAGCGAAGAAATGATGCCACCAAAGCGCCAGCCATCTCCAGTCTCGGTGTCTGATTCTCTTTGTCATTCCCGATCCGTTAGGATGTGTTATTTCCCATCGATATATTGTTCACATAACCACCTCGACAATAATTCCAGCGCCAGAATGAATATGATGCTAGAGATCAATCCACAAATGCACGTTAATAACAAAGGTCTAAATTTTGGACATTTGTGTATACGCACATCTCCTCTCCACCTCCATCTCGGAGCATTGTGCCAGTTACTGTGACGAGACTGAATGGGGGATGGAGTAGATCTCTTTGTAGAGATCTGTATGCCATTGGTTCAAAGCATACATCTATACTATCCAATGACGGAGCACTAACATTGCTATTTGGGTTTTGCACCACCTCTCTCACAATACAAACAAGAGAGGGGAATACAAATTGGTGTTATACAAGCACAATAGAGTGGAAAGACACAAAAAATGCCCTGTTTCCAAAGTAAAAGAAAAAAAATACTTTACATTAAATTATTGTGTACTGCTGTCGCAGAGAGAAGAGAACGTTATGAACGAACTAGATCGTGATAAGAAATAATTCGATTCTTTAAGTATGTTGCATACCGAAATAATTTCGGAGTTCTTTTTAAGTATGTGTAATTGCCATCATATAGCGTTTTTATGTGTTGTAGATATGTATTTTCTATTTTCACAGTAGAAAGAGTGAGAATATGATAACATTTGTGAATTGTTGCTGCGTAAATCTTGATTTCCTTTTGAAGGGATGATTATGGGGAAAGACGTAAAATGTCACGGCACGCTGAGTGGAAGGAAACAGGACTATTGGTATCAGACGGCAAAAACCAAAAACAAACACAAAAAAGAAACCACAAGAGGATTCTAATCTTTCTGTTCAGAAGAGGGGCGTCTATTATTTTTAGAGTTGACTTAATTAGGACTCAAAACGGTGGAAAGAATGAAATTTAAAATGAAATTTTTCAGATGTGAAACTCTGGATTGGTATTAGCGGGTTTTATATATTGCCTAACTGATGTGTGATTCTAATATGTTAATTGATGGAACCTAATCTCTAGTTATGCTATAACTCTTTACGACAACTGTAATGTGTCGAATAAATAATAACGTCGTACTTGCAGAGTCTTATTTTGTCCTAAATAGCATTCTCTTTATCATTATTTGCTTAATCAATATGAGAATGATAAGTGGAATTTTCTAAATACTAAAGTGAACGGGATATAAATAGTAATTTTAAAATTCACGTGCATGACTGAATATACAGTAAATCGAAATATGTCACTCTACATACATACCGATTCACAAATGAGCGGATGTGTTAATGAGTGTGAATGCAACGGAGCTGAAATTTTTTTAAAAGATTATTTTGGAAATGTATGACAGCAATAATAATGAAAAGTGTATGCAGGTTATTTCTTCAATTTTCGCCTCACCTGCTGGCTCTCAAAGGTCCAGGTGCTGTCGGGTAAAGAAGCATCCAGGACACTGATCACCTCCTTAAAGTCTGTGGTGCTGCTGGGTTTAATCAGAGTGAAATCGCTGTACTCTGACATTGGAGACATACAGGACCTGAAGGACTGACTCTGAGACAGCATGTCTCCTCCCAGGACCTCCACGTACTTTATAGGTCCATCAGTGTTGAGCTGAATCTGCAGGTTTCTGTTGGGGTTCTTGTAATCATCAGAGTCGGTCCGTCTCATGCAGCACGTGCTGCTGCTCCTGCTGTTCCTGATGCATTTAACCGCTAAGATGAGGAAAGTGACCAGAGACAGCACGGACACCGAGGCCAGAGAGAGAATCAAATAAAGGGTGATTCTCCCAGTTTTCTTGCTGGGCTCGGCCGCTTTATGTCGGAGGTCTGAGATGGGCTCATGGAGGCCGTCCTCCAGTATGATGGACACCGTGACTGTGGAGGACTGGATCGGTTCCCCGTCGTCCTTGATCTCTATAAGCAGCCTCTGAGAGGAGTCGTCCTGCTCGGACACAGCGCGTTTAGTCCTCACCTCCCCTGTGTACAGATTGACAGTGAAGAGAGAGGCGTCTGTGGCCTCCGCCAGTCTGTAGGAGATCCAGGCGTTATGGCCCGAGTCAGCGTCCACGGCTGTCACCTTGGTAACCAGGTGACCCGCTTTCGCGGAGCGAGGCATCCTCTGATGAGAGAGGGAGCCCATGGCAGCGGAGGAGGGGTAAATAACAGCGGGGGCATTGTCGTTCTGGTCCAGGATAAAAACATGGACAGTGGCGTTGCTGCTGAGAGACGGAGAGCCCTGATCCTTTGCCTGGACCTGAATCTGAAACACCTTCAGTTTCTCATAGTCAAACGAGTGCATGCTGTAGATGCTGCCGTTATCTGAGTTAATGTAAACATACGATGAGACAGAAACGTCCTGCACTTTAGAGTCCAGTATAGAGTAAGAGACCTTTGCGTTTTCACCAAAATCCAGGTCAGATGCTGATACTGAGTACAGGATAGAGCCTGGTACTCCATTCTCTTTTAAATACACATTATAAGAGGGCTGTGAGAACACAGGAGGGTTGTCATTCACATCAGTGATAGTGACAAGTACAGATTTCTTACTGGTCAAGGGAGGTGAGCCTGAATCAGTGGCTGTAATTTCAATATTATATTCTGAAAAACGTTCTCTGTCTAAAACACCACTTGTAACGAGAGCGTAGTTGTCAGAAAATGAAGGTTTTAAAGTGAATGGAGGCCCACTTTTTAATTCTAATGAAACTTTTCCATTATTACCAGAGTCGAGGTCTCGTGCACTGATTAATGCTACAACAGTGCCTTTTGGTGCATCCTCGCGTACTGGGTTTGGTTTTGAAGTCAACACTATTTCTGGAGCATTATCATTCATGTCTATGACAACTATTTGCACGCGGCAGTGACCTTCCATCTCAGGGACACCTTTGTCTTTTGCAGTAATACGTAGTTCATGCACTGCATTGCTTTCATAATCTAAAGGCCCTATCAAAGAAATTTCACCTGTGTCTGGATTCAATTGAAAAACAGATAACAGTGATTCTGATGTGTGTTCAGCAAATGCGTATTGAATCGCTCCATTAACGCCCTCGTCTGCGTCTGCTGCTTCGACTTTAACGAGTACAGAACCAGAAACAATATTTTCATGTACTGATACATTATACAAAGCTTTTTTAAAAACAGGAACATTGTCGTTGATGTCAAGTACAGTAACTACGATTTTTGTCGTTCCAGTTTTTACAGGATTACCTCCATCTAACGCTGTCAGTAATAGCTGATGTACACTTTGCTTCTCTCTGTCAAGCGGTTTCTCTAGGACCAGCTCCGGAACCTGTCGGTCGCCAGACAACTCTTTCAGTTTCAAACTAAAACACTCGTTTTTACTTAATGTGTACGATTTAACGGAATTACTTCCAACGTCCTGATCCTGCGCGG